GGGTGGGCGATATGACGATATGTCACTGTTATTAGGGCTGGACAAAATAAGGGTATGTCATTGTTACTAGGGGTTGGCAATATGACGATATGTTATTGCTATTAGGGCTGGAAGATACAACAATATGTCATTGTTACTAGGGGTGGGCGATATGACGGTATGTCACTTTTACTAGGGGTGGTATATACGATGATATGTCATTATTGTTAGGGATGAGATATATGACGACATGGCACTGTTGTTAGGAGTGAGAGATATGACAATATCTCCCTGTTACTAGGGGTGGGATATATGATGATATGTCATTGTAGTTAGGGGTGAGAGATATGATGATATTTTCCTGTTACTAGGGGTGGGCTATATGATGATACGTCATCATAGTTAGGTGGGAGATATGACGATATGACGTTGTTACTAGTGGTAACTAGGCAACGGTCAAATTAAACATTTTGAGCCACAGCAGATACAAATGTCGGCCATATGAAGCCATTTACAGGTTTCTATAAACGACAATATACGAGTGATTTATAATCCAATGCCGTGTATTGGTGGGGGGGGGTTCAACACCCAAGAACTTCTCCATTACAGGTTTGATACCACTTAAAAACACAACAACCAGTTTTATGCACGGAATACAGCAAAATAAAAGAAGCAGAAAGGAAAGTCCCCGCTAACACAGTGATGCAATGTGTAGCCTCAGTGTTTAAAATGATTTAAAAATCGCAAACGACAGTGCAAAAATGCAAAGTATAACTAAACAGTAAAGGAATTCACTGCCTTGGGTGACCAGCTATTCTCCATTGTCGAAGACATTTGATTTTGTGGCCCATACTGCAGCCCACATACTGGAATAATTTTAGCAACTGTATTTTATATAAACTATATAACTGTATTTTATATAAACTCATTTAATGTCAGCTTTTTTGGTTTTCAGTATTTTTTTCACTAAAAGTATTTTCAAAAACTATAAATACAATGATTATTATTCAACATTTTACACGCTGCACTACAGTTTATTATTCACCCCTAACTGTTACTCTGATAAATCAGAGAAAATTAGAAAGAAAATATAAATATGACCTCTGCTACTTTTTGATAGCATTTTTAAATGTGGCACTGCTGGCTACATTATGTCTATGTGTATGTTAAGTGATATCTTGATAAATACTGTGTATTGTGCAAAGTATTGTGATAGTATATTTTTGCCATATTATCCAACACTTTTGACATATACACCTACATACAAATGTGCACCCATATTCATCCAGAAAATACAAGCATGTGCACACACACACATATACACTGCTGAGGAGAGGAGGTTACAGATTTCTTCATGAGTGACAAGTTCAAAGGAGACCCTCATGGTGCACATTACAGGCAAGCTCCTTTACCTGGCAGCCAAAGATTTCTATCACCAGAGAAGTAAGAAACTCATTTCCAACCCCAATCATCTCATATTACAAGTCTCATTTGCCTTAAAGCATGGTCTATAATAACATAAGCTCTGTATGGTGTTAAATCCAGAGAATGAAAAGGTCCTGAATAAAACAGTGCACTTTTCTGCCCACTCAAAGTTGCCCTTTTTCAGACCTCTAGCACAGAATTCCAGGTCACGTGCTGACAGACTCAGTGCCCACTAGAGGGTGTCGTCTTGTGAAGGCATTAGGCTAGAATCATAAGCGGGCATTCCACACTAGGCTGAGTTAAAAGGCTTTGACATTCCAAAAAAGCGGGGGGAATTATGTTCCCACACTGTGGGGTGATCCTCACTGGTGGAGAACGTTGAGACACCATCTCTCTAGTTGTCACAGGACATGGACCCCATTGTTTTCTGAGTAACATCTCTCAATACAAAACTCTGAACTTTTCCACTTGAGACAGTAGCTTAAAAAAGTAATCTTCTCCCTCTTTAAGTCTTTTCTGAACAGGTGAAATGTACTATTAGCACTAATGTAACGTGACAGTTCAATAAACTTAGTAGATATAGTTTATACTGCTGTGCTTTAAGCCATTACACTTCTGAACATGATAGACCAGAGCTTTCATTTGCAATACATCTTGCTTACTATTTAAACCTTGTGGGCCTGTATACTGACGCACACTTTAGTTCCTCACTCTCATAACTGTATAACTCACATATTAGTTTGACTGTAGTTACTAAATAACAAGTCTGAATAACAAGTGTAAGATTCAAGAGGTTAGTGCATTCTTGGTTCTAATTCAAGCGATTGCATCTCAGTCTGTTATAAGCAGGCGTAAATGCATGCTTCAGTTCCACAGACTCCAAGCTCCTTGCATGCCTCTTTAGAAGAGAGGGGCCTCCTGTGGTTGCAGACAACCTGAAGTAAGCTATAGTGTGAACAATGCCCGGCACCACAAACTGTCTCCCAGATAACACACACTCACTTCACGCAAATGTGCATGCACGTACTCGCGTTGGCAATGGTATGTATGAAACGGGGCCTTACTTGAAGGCCTGTAGGGGTCAAGAGGTTGCCCGCACAATAGATTGTGTCTTAAGTCCTTCACTGAATTGACCTGAAGGTCTTGCACTCCTCCAGCTGGGGGATGGGGGTGGCTATGAGCCTATATGCCTCTCCCTGTGGGTGGTTAACTCCTCACTGATGACACATCTTAACATCTTAAACTGCGAGATGGGGTGGAACCTTAGCAACCTGTAAAGGAGCTTGCAGATTCCTAAAGATCTGGTACATTCCAAGAGCCAGTCAACAATGAGGGCTGTTCAAATTACATTCCAAGTCACTGTTGGGACGAGCCCACTACAATGCCCACTGCGAAATGTAGGCATGTGTGACATGATGCCTTTTAAGTTAGGGTCATTTTAACAAAACTGCCCCTGCCACTACTGAAACGCACATTAATGCCTGTGGTGATGGGCGCTTCACAGAACATGTTCCCTCCTGTCAGTCTTGCTGTTGGCTAGCCTGACAGTTGGAGATCAGGTCAGGCATTTCATGATAACGCTGCACCAGAGAACCAACAGCTGATTATAAAGATTAATGCAGAAGTCAACAGATGTATTTTTTCTTCCAAAGATCTTTGAAGAAAACTTGCTGGCATTTCTTTTCCCATCATCAGTGACCTCTCGTAGTGTGTCAGCTGTACCGGCTTTGTGAATGAAAAAAAGCTCGATCAATCCATCCATACACTAAGAATGACATGCACTGACTTATCAACTTCCAGAGACAGTGTCTGTAGCAGTGTTCTCAAACCAACACCTCAACTGCACACCACTTGCAGCCCATTCAGGCCACTATAATTTGTCAAATTATTGCTTCAGCGTAAAACCATGCCTAGAGCAAGTCATTCGGGAAAAAAACAGAGGTGACACTTTTCACTACTACACAGCCTGCATGCAGCTTTTCAGCATCCTTCAGCATCTGGGTATGTAAGTCTTGGCAACAACCAAATAATCCCTTCTTTTACACACTAAACACAACCACTAAAGCAAGCTTGTAACTCTCCCTCCCAGAACTAGCCGAGCTCCAGGCTCCAGATTCGCGTTCATTTTTCAGTAAAAAAGGTAGAGATAGCGAGGGTCAGCGGGTTTCTACAGAAGTCGCCCCCCTGCTGAAGAAAACTCGGGAAAATGTGATGCGAATGAGCACCAAGCGCGCGCGAGACAAGTTAGCGCGAGAAATCTTCCGCGAGGACGGGCCGTTAGCCGCGCGAGAGACGCCGCGAAGAAACCTCGATAACGACTTAGTCACAAAACGGAGGAAAACCAACACTTCGGTGCTTCGTTAAAGTAGTCTAACCACGTCTGTTTATAAACTAAAGCCAGGACGCGTGTGTGTGGACCCGCGGAGACTCAGAGACTCAGAGCTAACAGCGCAACTCGAGTTATAACCGACAGCTCTTTACGAGCACCGAGTCGCTCCACGGAGCAAGTGCACGAGTGCAGGAGGGTACTCACCGCAGCCTGGGAGTCCTGAACCCCACAGCAGAGCGTAATGAACAGCAGCACCGCGACGAGCTTCAGCAGACTCTTAAACTTCTTATTCATTCTTCTGTATTGAAAGAACCTGCCCTCTCAACGTCGACAGTTAAGACTATGAGGACGTATGTAACTTCTCATATTCCTCTGCTAACTTTGTGGTGACTACAAAAGTAGTTTTTTAAAGGTACAGGCGCATATTCTTCCACAGTCTCCAGGCTGTCTAGTGTTAGGACCGTTCACTAACCTACTGCAGCAGCCTTCACTTTTTCTCTTTCCCCTTAACCTGCGCGCCGGACTACTTTCAATCCCTCCGCCTGGGGACAGAATAGTCCCTCCAAAACTTTTTCGACGCTTAGAGTAACTTTTTATAATAAACAAAGACTGTCGCGCAATAAACTGCGGAGCTCTATTTTGATCTATTGTTTTATATCACGGAAATATTTTGTGTGAATATGCTGATTTTCCAGTGTGAGAAAAAGAGGACAGTAACTTAGCGTCAGTGCGGAGGTAGACCGCATCACACCCTGTTATCAGGGTTTCCCCCTACATAGCGTGATTTATTTCTTGGCGTGTCAAATGAGATTTTAAAGTCAGTGTGGTCTCGGTTTATGCTTGCACTGCATTGTAGAGCAGTTTATTAAATGGGGAAACTAATTAAAGCATTTATCTACTAAGACTTTTGGACTTTGGTTAACTTTCATTTTATGTTTATTCGATTTGTTATTCATTTTAACAGTATAACATTCATTACTTTCTGACACATTGTGCCTAACTCTTGTTTCTTCAATTCCTTTTTTGAGAAAAAAAATCCCCCGCTTTAACCTCCTTATTAGATAATTCATCGTGACAAAATAGGCTGTTAATAAACCTCAGCAGGGTGTTTAGACAATCATTATGATTATTATTATATCTGGATGATCATAGGAGCTGCTATCTGTGCGCCTTTCTACTCTTAAACCTTTTGCACTCCCACCTGTGAGATTCATTTGAGTTGTGTAGCGAAGCTGTGAGTGAGCTGGTGTGATTGACAGATCGAAGCCCCGCCCCCTGTCCTGCTGCTGCTGAGCGGACTCGTTGCGGTGTGCGGAGTGGAGTTGAGCGCGGAGGGAGCCGTTTCACCGCAGCGTTACCGTGAGTTCAGCTTTTCTCACTTTCAGAGCCACTTTAATGACACGCTGCATTAAAAAAAAACTGTGTGTAACGTACTTTGAGAGCGCGCTAACGTGCTGGTGTGTCTGTGCTGGGGTCGGTGCTGTGGTCTCCGCTCTCCCTCTCTGTCCTTCTTCGTCCTCGAAGTGGATGAACTCAGCGGGTCTGAAGCCGGAGGCTCGTGCTGAAGAGAGGGGAACGACGGAGAGATACACCACCTGAGTGTTCCTCCGAGGGAGCACGATGAAGCTCTGGTACGTCCGCTCTGATTAATGTGTAGATACGGGTCATAGTCTTTGCGTATATGTCTGTGAATGAACTGTGCTTCGTTAACTGGAGAGGCTTAGACCTGCAGTGTAGAAGTTCCGCGCTCTATTGAGGTGAATTGCTCTCCGTGTAGCCTCATCAGCAGATACATGAAAGTCTGTCTGGTTTATTTCTGCAGGGTTTGTGTGCTCGCTGTGATTTGGTCGCTGCAGTCTGCACATGCGGTGAGTGCAACACGTCCCTGTTTCTCATTCTCGGTGTGTCAGACTGTCCGTGTCGCCTTTCGTGTTTGAACTGTTCCTATAACTCTGGGTAAAAATGCTTTTTAACAGTGTATAGCACTGTAATGTCTTCTAAAATCGCGCCGATCCCGAACTGCAGGCTTTAAAGTGTCCCTTTAGTACCACACACTGTAATGCCTTTACTTGGTAAAGTTTGTTGAACTGGTGCTGCTGGTGTCTGACCACTGGATGTAGGAGAGCACCATAGGCCTGCACCTTACACTCATATTCCGCACGCTAGTGGTCACTGACTGTAGTGGGAATGAGTGGATTATGTATTTTTTAATCGTGAAAATAAGTTTAATTACCACGTGACCACGTTTATGACTTTTAAGCTCCTAGATCAGGGGTGCACAACTCCAGTCCTGGAGGGCCTTGTCCAGCACAGGTTGGAGGTTTCCCTACTTAAACACACCTCCTAAACCTGCCATTTAACAGATAAATGCAATAAGCTGTGTAGTAGGTAAATTACCGAGCTGTGCTGGACACCGGCCGTCTAGGACCGTGTCCTAGATGTTGGCTTTCACATGTCAGAGGGAACCATGCATTAATTTTGAAGCTAATACAAAACAGCAGCAAAATATTATTAAAATAATCTGACAGACGTTTGTTCAGGAGTTGCTTAAATTGCTTCATTAATTGTTTCTAGTCTCTGCTAATTTTTTGTCAACATTGAGCTAATTTTATAGTGAGAACACCCTCGTTGTAACATGCTTCTCATGAATATTTAAATTTAAATTTAGGACACACCCACCTACGTATTAGCTGATCACGTGATACTTAGACCACAAAATGAACTTTCACGTTTTAGAACTGCATGCTCTTTCAGTGGTGTAAAAGTCTTAGGACTGTGCAGTTGAGTATTAATGAGCTTCTATTCTGAAATAAGAAACCCTCATGTTATTAAAATGTAATAGCTTTAGTTGTTGCATAATGTAGTAAACAAATACAGATGTTAGATTATGACAGTAAGAAAAGATAGAAGATGCCACATTTCTTGCTGCAGAGTGTGCAGTTCAGTGGTGTCTGGGCTGGAGGCAGTGTTTATTCATTCAGTTGTCAGCAAGGTGCCTTACTCACTATGACCACGTTTTCGGAGTGCTTTTGCTGTAGGTCACTGCTGCTGGTCTTCAGGGACTAAAACTGTAGAGCTAACAGTAAAATCCACTTGTGTTCAGACTGTGTACAGATAGTAGGGCATTTTTCTATTTTCTCATTTTCTGTGCTTTGAAAGGGTTAATTATCTTTGACTGGGAGCCAGACAGTGCCAGTGAGTCAATACTTTAATGGTAACAATAGTGAAGGTGGATAGATGGATAGGCACAGTGAGATGAATGAAGAAAGCTTAAAAACAGCTTAAAAAGCCAGATCATGAAAATTAAGACTTGTCTTTATCATTATAAAAGGAGAAAGTTCTTAAAGCTGTTGCGGGATGTGTTTTTTGTTTATTTGCAGTATAAGTAACCTATCATAGATTATCTTTACAGTGATAAAGTAAACAAATCAACAAGTTTTTCTTTGAAATGAGTAAACAGGAATGGAAAAAAACAGCATCACATCTCAGATCTCATTTCACCTCTGTCTCTATCTCTCTCTCTCTCTCTGTCCCACCTCTCTTTCTCTCATACTCCTTTCTTATCTTTCTCTCCATCAGGTGTCTGTTCTCCCTGAAACTTCCCCTCTTTGTATCTCCCAAATACACCTACTTACCTTATATCTTCAGCAGTGAAAGGAGCTGAGGCGTAGTGAAACTCTTCATATCTTGTTCAGGCACTTTCGATGTTGGCACTGTTCCTGTTGATAAGTGTGGCCTTATCTCTCATTGTCAACAGAATCTAACACACATGAACAGGAGGGAACTACCATTGTACATTATATATTTAAACTGATGGGATTTGCTTCATATTGTATAATTTATAATTCATGTTAAAGATCTTTTTTATGCTGTCACAGAACTTGTCCTAATATGGCCACTTCAAGGGACCATTTAGATAATGAATATGTCTGTATATCATGCCTGTAGAGATGTTGGGGACTGAGGAAGTTTCATTTGGGGCAGTAAAGTTGGCTTGAGTGTCTCTAAAGATGTGTTTGGTCAGAGTATGGCGATATGAATTCATTACTGTTAAAAGGAAATTTAGACAGAGCTCCAATGTGACATAGCTGTCTAAGGCGTTGCTGTAGTTTTGGGAGATCATGAGTTTGAATCTAACAGAGCAGATCTGGGGCTGCTTAATTAGAAGTAGTGCTGCACAGTAAGTGATAAACACAGTTGTTGTACTCAGAGCTTTTGATAGTATTTTTAAATGTGGCACTACTGATGCACTGCGCCTCTTTATTAAACCTTTTGTAAAACTTTACAGTGTTGTGATATTGTATTGCAGGCTTGTTATTAACATTAAAGACTTTAGTAACTTTTATGAGTTATTTGTAGGGATGCTCTGATCATGAATTTTAATGGCGGATTCCAATTTCTTTACAGACAAGTTAGCCAATGGCTGATTGTTTGTTCAATTTTTATTGACCCTTTTTCTTTATCTGAAGCTCACATTGTGTGGGGTAAATTCCGGTATGTGTTCTTAGCCAAACTTGCTATATAAATAACAATATTTAATCTTTAATGAGCCAAACTTTCATTTTTAAATCAGTTGCCTATTTAGTTAACAAGAGTCAAATAAAGTGCTACATTGAAAGTAACTGGCTATTTAGCACAATGAGACATACATAATTATGTTAAGACATAGATGTAGAAGCAGCATTCAAATAAAATGTGAGTATACTTACCTGCCTCACATTATTTATGACATAAAACTACAACACAGATCTGCCAAACCAAAAGCCAATGAACTGACATATTTCTGACTTTGTGTTTTAAGCAAAAATGCAGATTTTGGCTGATTCCGATTGTGCATCCCTAGTTATTTGGTATTTACTATGAACCTAATATGTAAGCCATGCAGTTATGAGAGTGAGGAATTGATGTGTGGTCACAAATACAAGCAATTACAGATGAACCCTCTAATGCCCACGCAAAGAAGCTATTAATCTAGTTAATCTACTGTTATCTTTCACTTAAACAATAGTGTGATGTCACCTTCATTTTGATATGGAAAGTTCATAATTTAACAAAGCCAGATTTAAAGAGTTTTATATAGTTCACAAATAACCTTTTTAAACAAACAAACATGTGAATAGAAATATACACTCTTCAAATAAAGGGGTTCTTTGGAGAGATGCCAAAGATGTTTACATGGTATCATCACAGTACCATTTGGTAAATGACATGCGTGAGTGTGAAGAACCTTTGAAAAGTGGGGAGAACTTATACATAATGTAAAGGTTCTACAGCATTGTTTTGGAAACATTTAGGTCAAAAGCATTAGAAGTGCGCACTTCACACTACAGTCACCTTTTGTTGTTATTCTGATCGCAGTGTATCTAAAAAGAAAGGTAACATTGTGCTACTTTTATACAGTGATAGGAAATCACAGTCCCACACAAAATGCTCCAGTTCCACATGCACAAGTACTGTGGGCCAGATGAGCTGGAGAGAACAAAGAAAAAGACTCTGAATGAATTGCTGACAGGACATCAGGTTTGATAAGGTTAAGGGCCGAAAAACAGCACAGTTGATAAGATGCTCTGATGTAGTGTGCTTATACAGTGGACCTAAAAAGAATGCTTCATTTGCTTTGAAACAGACCGTTGTGTAGCCTCTCAGTGTATTTGGAACAAGTCTTAAGTGCTTAATGTCTTTTTGACTGCTTCTTGAAAGGGATGGTTTACACAGCCGTCTTGTCCTAATGCTATGAATAATAGCTGAATACTTGTGCTATTGCTTTGCCTTTCGCACTAAAACAAACAAGACCATATGATGGAAGTTTGGCACCACTGTTTATTCAATCTAAATCCCATTCTTGATAAAAGGGCATGTGAATACCCTCCACAGTTGCCCAGCCACACACACCTGCTCATGTGCACAATGTTAGAGAGCGGTCTGTTGAGAAAGCCACGGTTGAAGGAGGAAGAGGAGAGGTAAATGCTCCAAACTCCAAACAGGAGCAAACTGACCTGCACTTATCACCTACACAAAAGTGCTGAACACTCTCTTGGGAGAAAACCTACACTGAAAAAAGTGATGAATTGAATGTACTTGATTAAAATGTTTACGTCATTTCCTCATGAATTAAATGCATTACATCAGTACAGCTACTGCAAATAAGAAAGTGAAATAAGAAAGTGTTGATGTACTATATGTCATTCATGTGGAAATGATGTGCACAGTACTCCTATTTCAGTCTCTCAGACTGTGTGTGTGTGATCTGCTGTTCTAACTGTTTATCCAGTGAGCTCTTATCTCTGCAGGCCACCCTCTCCCCATTCACGGATGAAAAATTCCAGACCTACCTGGCAGAACTTGTAGATTTTTCTCTCTTGCTGCAGGTGTAACTTTCTTAAACATTCCTCCAGGTCAAGCCGAGGTGCTGTGATGGCTGTGTGATTTGTTAGTGCCCCTCCTTGACTGAATTTACTTTTGCCCTAAGGGTACAGATTCTGTTTGAGGCAGTTTCTGAACTCCACCCATCATCCCAGCTACCTAACAGTGGGGGGTAGCTTTTACAGCCCTCCAGTTCAAATTAGATTAAGTAGTTATTAGAAATGTAAATCCCTGACCTCACAGCGATTACATTAGATGAAAAACAATTTAAAGAGAAACGGTTTGTGCATCGTAAATCTCAAATTTCACCAGGATTTGATTTGACTAACTTGGTTTATGATACAAAAAATATAGACTATAAAAAATAGTGATTCAGTGATCTGATGCATGGATCAGTATCGGCTGGTGCTATTGAATGGATTGGGGGTTGGCCAGACATGACAGATTTACTATAAATGCTGTTTTTTAGACACAATACACATCAAATTCTCACTTTGTGTTTCAT